GGTGGCCAATACTTTCATTATTCTGTATTATACAGTATTAGGTGAATGCATTAAATTCGAGATCACGTGAACAAATCTCATATTAAATTTATATTAAATATTTATGCTATAAATATTTATTTAGGTGATAAAAGAATATTCAAGCAATTTATGTATTTGAGAGTTACAGACAACCCCTTGTGCTATAAGGCTTACGGACATCATTGCTAAATTTAATAGAATATTCTGCAAATTGCTTTGCTTCACATAATTCATATGATGTGATATGATATGATTATAATTACAATACACGGAATAATAAGTTAATTATAATTTATTATTATGTAATTCCCAAGATTTTCTATTAAACTTATAATAATCTTAATATTACGTTTAATATTATTACGCATAAAAACTCAAAAACCTTAGGTTATAAATAGCATTTAATTCATTTTATTAGTAATATATTCAAAATAGTTTCCAATTATTTATATCAACAAATTACCACTTTGATAACATTTCATGTATTTAATGTGTACTTGAAGTTTCTGGAGTAGCAGTGGAGTCATAGAATCACAGAATATTATACTTTTAAACCACAATTTCTTATTCACATACTGTATTAATTATGGAAATATTTTAGTAATGTATTATTACTTAACAAAACATTAAAAAATACATGTATATCAAATCTGTTGCGTGCAATCTTATTAAATAAAATCACAAACCGTATAAAAATAAACACTTTAATGACAAAATATGTCATTTAATAGCTCACATAACTCATCCTATTTGATGGGATTATTATTAGCTAATAAAATCAATACATAAAAGTCAATCTACAGGTGACCCTAAATTGAATGACATCTCAATACATGTATTGAATAATTGATCTAAAAAAGTGAATGAAAGCTATGAATCGCAACGTTTGATGAACATTATGAGTGAATATCTGTGTGGGAATGGTATGGTTATGATATGTTGTGCTCTCAATAGGACTCAAAAGGTATAAAATGCCAGAAATATATATTATATTTATGAAAATATCGATTCGTATACTGTATATAAAAGCATACATTAGCTGTTGCTTTGCTTAAACTTTGAATGCATTTCAGAGGATCTGTAATTGAAAACTACAGCAAAATGAATGAAAACTTAACTCTCTTTTCATTTATGATTAGATAAACTGAAAAACAATCGATACTTACTTTGCCGTTGGGAGAGCTCTTCTTGAAGACCCTAATCGACAGTCAAATACATTAATGTAAATACAGTGTAATATTAATTGAAACACATTTGTTGTAATTAATAATTGAAAAGTTCAACACAACTGAGAGGCAATAGAAAAAGAGATAAGAGACAGGAGTGCGGGAACAGTAGTTTGTATTTCCCTTTAAATGTAGGCTTATTTTCAGAGAAGTTATAGTATAGTAAAACACAAAATGCAGGAAAAATAAATAAATGCGAACAATTAATAGCACAGTAATTGAATTAAAGTAGGGATTTATAGACACATATGAAATGTGACAACAGTTTTGGTGATCATAAGTAATAAAAAGTGTTTGCTTTGCTTTTAATGGTCTCATACCTTATATTATTAGAATCGTTCAGTTCATTCATTTCTCAATTGATTGAAAATCTCATGTTTTGTCAATAATTAAATTGAAAGTCTTTTACGTGGACTTAAAAAATATGTGAAATCTTATAACAAGTACACGAGAAATGCTTTTTATTGGCGATATAAAGCCTATATTAGAGTTGAATTAACGGTAGTGTTAGTGTAACACCACTTTCCGCGTGTGTACTCCTCTATGAAATAAAATCCAAAAAACAAACATTTCCTTAGATTTCAATATAAATTTATTATTTTTTAAAGTGGTTTTTGTTTTCAATAAAGTCTCATAGATTGGTTTCGGGATTAAACAGATATTCAATGATTGAATGAAATATGAAATGTTTTGAAACCGAAATCAGAATCAGATCTCGAGTGCAGACAAACAGTGTTTGGAAAACGATGCAAAGGATGCAATACTTGTGCTCTTATAGTATACATAAGTTATCATAAGTATTATATAAATATATAGATAGTGTAAATTATATTGGTTTTGTGAGTATAATACTGTATAAACAAACCATTAGTTGTGTTTTGAAACATACAAATCTGGTTGGCATTTATATTTAAACACTAATTTAGCAAATTATAGTCAATAAGACTGTGAAGAACTCATTAATGAGAATATTTTCCATTTCAATACCAATTCAAGTAATACACAAAATACTAGCTCTGCATAGCGTATGATAACTAAATCCCTTTCAAACCCAAATGACTTTTCCTAAAGTAATTAATATTTTACGCAAATTCACGACAAGTTTCAGCACTGATAGCATTGAGNTAAATTTCATATAAATACAGTATATTTATATAACAAATAAACTAATGTTTAGCTCACGTCTCGAGTTGTATGAGGTTTGGCTCAGCGGTGGTCGGTTTCTGGCCGTCCGGGGCACTGACCTCTCCGTCAGAATTATTGGCGTCTATAGGTTTCGATGCGATACCGATATTATTGTCGTCTGGCTTTGGATGCATTAAGACAAAAGGCAGTTCCGCGACCACATCCCCGCCCAATGGTCCCAAACAGAGCTTCACCTTAACCTTGTACTGAACTATTATCCCTAAGTTCTCCTTCTGAGTCGGATCTGTGACACTGATTACAAACACAATCATTACATTGATTGATGATTCAATGGACAGGTATGTATTCATTGACATACATTGTAGAAGAGGCTAAGTTAGTGTCCTCGTGCTTGAGCTGACCGTCCAAAGCGAGGCCTCGTTTGTCTTTATTATTAGCCAACAGAGGCCTTAAGTAATAGACTTTAGATAACGTAAAGCCCGGACTTATAGGGCAACCATCTCTGGAAAAGTGATTTTAGAAATTAATGGTGACATTCATTTGGGACATAAAATAATTGGATAGAGAGATGACTGACTCGCTCTCGATCTCAGCGACGGTGCACTTGTATTGAGCGGTTGAGAACAAACAGATGTCTGCGAACTGACGAACAGATACTTTGACTTTTTTGACCGTTCGGTTGGAACTGTTGGCGATGTGGACATTGACGGCGATGTTCTCTCCGTGATGGTAGAGCTCCTTGTCGAGGGAGGCCTCCAAATGGAGTTTATTGGGAGACATCATAAACTCTTTGCTCACTTCGACGGAAGGCTGTTCCCCCTGTTTGGATGGCGCGTAAACCACTTTTCTGATCGCCAGACGAACCGAATTCCTTTTGTGGGGCTTTTCGTCCACATTTTCGGCCACATATGCCTTAAGCTCATAATCTACTCCACAAGGCTTTCCTGTATCGCCGGGCGCTGGTTGTAGAGTGACTGATGCCGGACAGTGGGGTGGAAGCTATGATTCATTTGAGAAATTAGTTGACAACTTATTTATGGCTTTGGATTGCAATGAGTGAATACCTCAAAGAAAAATGGAAAAGCATTTGATCCTAATTTTTTGATAAGTCTCTCCTGAAGTCGAGTGAGCGGTCTCTTCGCGGAATTGGACTCTTCTTTGAAGGGAAAGATTTGCTCGGAAGCCAAATACAGATCTTTTCTAAAAGTAAGTCCTAAAACATCTAAATCTTCTCTGCCGTATCGAAAAGCGGCCAAAACATGACCAAACACTTTACGATCCTTTAAGTAATCCGGATCTATCAGTACAACACCATCTGATCGACATAAAGGTATTATTAGAGATTAACGACACAATAAAACTTTAATTATATAAATCGGATCAACACATACCGATTGGATCGACATGTGTTAAGTGATCGACAAAATCTCTTTTTCCTAAATAGACGGTTATCTAAAAAGAGAAACAAAAAGTGTTGCAGAGAAATATGTTTTGAAACAATATTTCAGTGAAAGCAAAAACCCCATGAAAAGAGACATTAAGTTATTATTATAAGTATAATGAAAAGCTCTATAAATAGTTATTCTTTTCCTAAAGAATTACAATCAATGAGTAAGAAGTGAGAGGTTTTATATTCAATGCTTATCATATACAGTATACCGTACATAAACACAGTGGTGGCCAATACTTTCATTATTCTGTATTATACAGTATTAGGTGAATGCATTAAATTCGAGATCACGTGAACAAATCTCATATTAAATTTATATTAAATATTTATGCTATAAATATTTATTTAGGTGGATAAAAGAATATTCAAGCAATTTATGTATTTGAGAGTTACAGACAACCCCTTGTGCTATAAGGCTTACGGACATCATTGCTAAATTTAATAGAATATTCTGAACATTGCTTTGCTTCACATAATTCATATGATACGATATGATATGATTATAATTACAATACACGGAATAATAAGTTAATTATAATTTATTATTATGTAATTCCCAAGATTTTCTATTAAACTTATAATAATCTTAATATTACGTTTAATAAAGCATAAAAACTCAAAAACCTTAGGTTATAAATAGCATTTAATTAATTTTATTAGTAATACATTGAAAATAGTTTCCAATTATTTATATCAACAAATTATCACTTTGATAACATTTCATGTATTTGAATGTGTACTTGAAGTTTCTGGAGTGGCAGTGGAGTCATAGAATCACAGAATATTATACTTTTAAACCACAATTTCTTATTCACATACTGTATTAATTATGGAAATATTTTGGTAATGTAGTATTAACAAATCATTAAAAAATACATGTATATCAAATCTTTTGCGTGCAATCTTATTAAATAAAATCACAAACCGTATAAAAATAAACACTTTAATGACAAAATATGTCATTTAATAGCTCACATAACTCATCCTATTTGATGGGATTATTATTAGCTAATAAAATCAATACATAAAAGTCAATCTACAGGTGACCCTAAATTGAATGACATCTCAATACATGTATTGAATAATTGATCTAAAAAATGAATGAATGCTATGAATCGCAGCGTTTGATGAACATTATGAGTGAATATCTGTGTGGGAATGGTATGGTTATGATATGTTGTGCTCTCAATAAGACTCAAAAGGTATGAAATGCCAGAAATATATATTATATTTATGAAAATATCGATTCGTATACTGTATATAAAAGCACACATTAGCTGTTGCTTTGCTTAAACTTTGAATGCATTTCAGAGGATCTGTAATTGAAAACTACAACAAAATGAATGAAAACTTAACTCTCTTTTCATTTATGATTAGATAAACTGAAAAACAATCGATACTTACTTTGCCGTTGGGAGAGCTCTTCTTGAAGACCCTAATCGACAGTCAAATACATTAATGTAAATACAGTGTAATATTAATTGAAACACATTTGTTGTAATTAATAATTGAAAAGTTCAACACAACTGAGAGGCAATAGAAAAAGAGATAAGAGACAGGAGTGCGGGAACAGTAGTTTGTATTTCCCTTTAAATGTACGCTATTTTCAGAGAAGTTATAGTATAGTAAAACACAAAATGCAGGAAAAATAAATAAATGCGAACAATTAATAGCACAGTAATTGAATTAAAGTAGGGATTTATAGACACATATGAAATGTGACAACAGTTTTGGTGATCATAAGTAATAAAAAGTGTTTGCTTTGCTTTTAATGGTCTCATACCTTATATTATTAGAATCGTTCAGTTCATTCATTTCTCAATTGATTGAAAATCTCATGTTTTGTCAATAATTAAATTGAAAGTCTTTTACGTGGACTTAAAAAATATGTGAAATCTTATAACAAGTACACGAGAAATGCTTTTTATTGGCGATATAAAGCCTATATTAGAGTTGAATTTATCGGTAGTGTTAGTGTAACACCACTTTCCGCGTGTGTACTCCTCTATGAAATAAAATCCAAAAAACAAACATTTCCTTAGATTTCAATATAAATTTATTATTTTTTAAAGTGGTTTTTGTTTTCAATAAAGTCTCATAGATTGGTTTCGGGATTAAACAGATATTCAATGATTGAATAATATATGAAATGTTTTGAAACCGAAATCAGAATCAGATCTCGAGTGCAGACAAACAGTGTTTGGAAAACGATGCAAAGGATGCAATACTTGTGCTCTTATAGTATACATAAGTTATCATAAGTATTATATAAATATATAGATAGTGTAAATTATATTGGTTTTGTGAGTATAATACTGTATAAACAAACCATTAGTTGTGTTTTGAAACATACAAATCTGGTTGGCATTTATATTTAAACACTAATTTAGCAAATTATAGTCAATAAGACTGTGAAGAACTCATTAATGAGAATATTTTCCATTTCAATACCAATTCAAGTAATACACAAAATACTAGCTCTGCATAGCGTATGATAACTAAATCCCTTTCAAACCCAAATGACTTTTCCTAAAGTAATTAATATTTTACGCAAATTCACGACAAGTTTCAGCACTGATAGCATTGAGTCGTCAGTTATGCTAATTATTTGTCAGATTTGAAAGATTTCTATATTTTTAGTAATCGGAAGGACTTAACGATTCTTCACATTAACATGACATCTGTTTTTGCATTTATTTATTGAATACATCCATAACTAGGACTGCTTTGGATTCAACGAGTCTCACGGCTTATCACATGTAATCACCTGGATCACCTAATGTGACCCTAAATCATGTGCCATCCCTTCAATCATCACTTCCATAACAATCATATAATACTACAGTATATCGGAGTTAAGCCATTGTCTCATGTGATGTGTAGTGAGCATTACATACAAAAAAGATTTATTAACAAGCAAACAAGTCTTGCCTAACACTAACTTTCCTCTTAAATATAATAGTAATACAGAAATTCAATTAAATTCATATCAGAAGACGTTTGACTCAAGACTTGATCTATTGGTTCACTAATCTCTGTCTATATTATTGAATACAATACTAGAAAATAACTTCTCATTTAAATTGAGATCGATATATGTTGTCATTTCTAATTATAATTCAAATACAGGTTAAGAGAGAGAGAGAGAGAGAGAGAGAGAGAGAGAGAGAGAGAGCTATTCTAAGTGTTTGTTTGAATCCATTCATTATCTCTTATTATGTCAACTATTTATGCGATAATTAAGACTCGATTCAATTAAATGCAAACAAATTCAATTAAAAGGAGTTTATAATTAATTATAAAATATAAGAGATGTTTGTTTGAATCCATTCATTATCTCTTATTATGTCAACTATTTATGCGATAATTAAGACTCGATTCAATTAAATGCAAACAAATTCAATTAAAAGGAGTTTATAATTAATTATAAAATATAAGAGAGTAGGCAGTCGTGAGAAAACATTTGTTGCCTTAACTTCTCACACAATACTAGATTATAATTGAATTCAATTTCAATTATATTATATCATCACAACTGACGGGATATTTAATTGACGTCAAAATTATATTACTCAGTTTTGTATACAGTATTAATAGACAGAAGCAAAAAGTGTTCATTTAAGGCTAATAATAATAATTGCATATATTTAAGGATATAAGTTATGGTATCATTCATTCATTCAGTTTATCACAAAAATTGTGTTCACTTTTTATCAAATAATAAACAAATTAAGAAAATAATAAATAAATAAAAAAGTGTAACAATTGCTACATCAATAGTAATAGTGATATTAGTAATATGAATATTAAGTGTATGAATGCAAGCAATGATAACATGAAAGAGTGTTTATATTGTGACCACTATTTGAATAAAAAGAAAACAAAAATAAGAGATTTGTGTGAAAAGCCCAAAACAGTGCACAGAATAAGGCATTAATAGTATTACAGTTAGTGAATGCATATCATATCACAAACACAATCACATGCAGTGAATGGCCATAGATTGGTGACAAACCTGGTTCCCGGTCTCTTGTTATTGTCATCGACTGATGTATCCATTAATGGTTTGGTCACAGGATCGACAGCATTGGTCACACATATGAAGTATGTTTGTGAAGCAAACGGCAATGCTATGCAACTGTCAAATGCAACACTAATGCACTGCACTGTACAGTATAATACTGTTTGAATACTTCACTGATTCTGCTCTCTATTATGGGAATGGCTTTCAACGGATCCGGATATCTGTCACTCATTGCCCACAATAGAGGACTCTCTGCACACTCTACCTCTACTACAGCACAGATTCTGTATAGTATTCATAGTATACTACAATACAATATTCTTGCGATTCTGCACCCAATTAAACATCAATTTGAATATCTTTTAAATTTTTATTTATTCACAAGTCTAGAAATTTTCATTTATAAACATTTCCAATCTGTAAATACATTAATTCGCATTTAAAACGGTTTATCATTTGGTTTTTATTATATTTGCAAAAATTCTTAAGTAAAATAAACTACTTTAAATTATTTGTTCAAATAAATTACATTTTTAAATAACATTATTTATATATTCTTATAAGAAATGTAAAAAAGAGATTAAAATTATAAATAAAACAAATAAATATATAAATTATATGAAAGTATTTTGGAATATAATATAAAAGTATAATATATTAGAGAATATTAGGGCATAATTTAGAGTTGTTTTGCAATATTGTAATCCAAATGAGATATTAATCCGAGTATTGAGAGAAGCGTTCATTTATTGCTTAATACAGTATTTGTAAAAATTGGTTTAAATGGAAAATATCAATATTTCGAGAGGACTGTTAGCAATAACATCCGCTTTCATCGCCAGTATTTGAGTCTTTCTCCAGAGGTAATGGTCTCAGAGGTATAGCTGTGGAAAGGTTTTAAAGTCAAGGAAACTATTGATTTATTGGACATTTTCTAAATTCAATTAAAAGTCATTCACTTTGCTTTTTGTTCAAAAAGTTATTATTCATTTCAAATCATTACAATTGACTAAAAAATTATTATTTATTTTCCATATATTTCTTTATAATATAAAAATTTAAATAAGAAATTAAATGCGAAATTAGAAATTTAAGAATAAAAACATTTAACACTATTTACTGAATGAAAATTAAGTTTTAGACAAAACAAATGATATCCAGAATATAATGTAAATAATATGCAAATTATATAATAAAAACGAAATTAAGAGCTGCTTTCGATTCCATGCATTGAAAGGGTTTCCAATAAATATAAAAAGTCTGAATTAAGAACTCAAGAAGACTTGCATTAGAACTAATAGATTGTGATTCAGGACAACAGTCTTAACAAAAGCATTTGCCCTCTTGGCTGGTCTGCTCTGAGGGGCCGTCCTTTAGGTCAACTTCAACGACTACAACAGACAGAGAGAGTGCGGGTTAAGGATCATAACACACATAACCAATTCATAGCAAACATAACGGTGCAGGCGTTCAAATAACTTTTCAATGTGTCGATACCTTCAAAGGCATTACTTACAACTGCCTCTGGTTTAAGCAAAAACTTGTTAAAAGTCTAAATAAATGAATGAAATGTATAGAAAAGGATACTGTCCTCTTTCCCTGCCCTCTCGTTCGTCTCCATTCCCGGCAGCGCTGCCGCCACTCTTCGAAACAACTTATTTCACACAATAAACGCAAAATTAGCGACAATTGCGATAAAACTCGTTATCAATGACTCACTTGTTTAACATTATATCCTGATTTAGCACTCGTTTCGATGAACATTACGTTCAGTTCTTTGGCTTTCTTCTCGCCCTCCTCTGTGGTCACCTGACGCTTGTCCTGAAGATCAGTCTTGTTTCCGACCAACATTATGATCACATCATTGCCTCTCTCTGTCCGCACGTCGTCTATCCATTTAGACGTCTGATGGAAGGAATTGGCGTCTAATCACACAAACCATGCAAACCATGCATTCATCCCTTTAATCACTGTTTCACTCATTAAACTCTCAATGAGTACTCACTTGTAATGTCGTAGACAACGACAGCAACCGTTGAATCTCTTATATAACTAGGAATAAGACTACGAAACCGCTCCTGACCTGCAGTGTCCCATAACTGTAAGCGCACCTGAAGTATACAAACACCACATCAATAAACGCTAACTTTTGACTATTTGATATATATTGTAATTCTGATTCCTCTAACAACTCATTGTTTTTATTACTTTTTGTACTGTTTGCGCAATTATAATGAATTATAAATAATAATTAGTATTACAGTAAACGCAACACTAAAGCCGGTAATATGTGAATTGTAATTCTGATTCCTCTAACAACTCATTGTTTTTATTACTTTTTGTACTGTTTGCGCAATTATAATGAATTATAAATAATAATTAGCATTACAGTAAACGCAACACTAAAGCCGGTAATATGTGATTGTAAAATGTGTTGTACAATAATCAGGTAGACTATGCATAAATTCAGATAATGTTTACTTTAGATTAAATTTGCAATGCGGTATAATATTTATAGAAAATTTATAATGTTTCACTATAATTAAAGATTTGGTTATATAAAACAAATCTATAGGAACTAGCTAACATATCGTGTCATTTTTATGGCTTATTTTATAAAGGAGTTATAGTTTAGCAAAACTATATATTAGATTTAATGGCAAAATAAACGTGTAAATGAATAAAAATAATTTTGTAATAACAAAACGAAATGATTACAGAAAATGTGAATAAATAAAATGAAAACTACTTTTTGAGAGCAAACCTACAGAAAAGTAGTGCATAATTCAAATTTCAAACTCAAAACATTGAAATGTTTGATAAAACCAATTATGGTATTAAAGTCTGAACTGATTTACAAACAAGAATAAAGTGAAACCATTTCTGAACTAATTATCAAAATATTTTAAGTAAATCCTTTTTTTTTGTTTAACAATATCTCAAAACAATATTAAAAACTTTGTAAAAATAAGCATATTTTTGATAGCATTTCACTAAAATAACTTATAATAAATAAAAGTTGGAAAAGTTGAACCAAATTTAATTAAAAACATGTTTTCACTTAAATCAGTATATAATTGAATAGAAATATCAGTGATTTATAAAATGATAAGAAAATGCTAAACAACTCTAATTGATTCAAATCATTGGTATATACTATATAGAGTCAAAGTGTCACTTATAGTCATTATAAACATGTATAAAGCCATTAATTATGACAATTATAGCCACAAGAGATATGTTAGTAATAAATGAGATAATCAATGGTAAGGCAAAGAAGTGGTTCAACTCAACTGTTCTGTCCTCTAAGTACATGGTTTTGGACAAGAAGTCGATTCCGATGGTCGCCTGATATGTGTTGTCAAACGTGTCGTACATGAATCGGGTGATCAATGATGTCTTTCCCACTGTTAAGCAGATCCACATTAAGAGGAATGTGACGGAAGAAGGGATAAGTAATGTCGCGAGACAATGAGCTCAAGACAAATGCTCACCACTTTGTTCCCCAAGAAATACTAATTTGAATTTTCGCAACGGATTACCGAAATCACCCGAAGAAGACATGTTTGCGTTCACTGTAGTCTAGGTCTTGGGATCAGATGAGGTGAGCGCTCAAGAGTGCCATCAAATGAATAGTCAGTCACTTGTCAGTCAATGTGTGTCAACACAACACAACTCAACGCTTATAAAGCATATGAAAAGCCATACAAACCTATTGTACAACTCATACCACACCACACCATGTCATACATGTTTGGGGCACACATTCACTGCACACGTGGGCCACAAACCATGCATTGTTGGCACGGATTTGTATGAATGACTCATTTCGGCGAATTTACACCAAATTGCAATTTGTATGAAATCCCTATAAGTTATGTTCACTTCATTGAATGCATTTGTGAATATATTTGGGGAGAATATAGTGATTGCAGAGTGTAAGCATTGACTGAATGGCAGAATGTTTGCATCACTTGTTGTCATATGTTTTGATTGAAATAATTAAAAGTAATTTCTATTAAATGCCAACAATTTAGCAAAACTTTGGACTAGACTTCAGTTCAGATATCACTGAATCGGTGGACATATATTGCATTCAATTGTCAACACATTTGACATTATATTTGCGTTCATTTGTCATTTAATCGACAATTGAGTCCAAAA